AAAATGTAGGTTCTTCCTAAAAATTTATAAGTTTCCGTATTAAATTAGGCATATACACATCTAAAAACTTTACTTTTCGTACTCAAGAAAAATGCAAGTTTTAATTGGTGAGCTAGTTTCGATAAATTTCCGATAAAAATTAGAGACATCAGCGATTTGTTCGTAATTCACATGGTAATTGGATCTGAATTACCAACAAATGAGGTAATTTATACCATTTTCCCACGACATTCTAAATTACCTTGTTCGGTCCCCCAATTACGATCCCACGGGCACATTCTTAATTTGACAGTTCGCTGTCTCTGTGTTTTGGTTTGGTTTTTCTTCGCTGCAAAATTAATCCAAAATGTCGGTTCTTCCTAAAAATGTATAAGTTTCCGTTTGAAATTAGGGATATACACATCTAAAAACTTTATCTTTCGTACCCAGAAAAAATGCAAGTTTTAATTTGTGACCTAGTTTCGATAAATTTCCGATAAAAAATAGAGACAGCTCCGATTTGTTCGTAATTCGCATGGTAATTGGATCTGAATTACCAATAAATGAGGTAATTCGCTCTCAAATTTTTGTATGGCGAATTACGAAATTCGAAGGGTAATTGGAGTGCGAATTACGAATGAGAGACGAACTACGTGATTGGGGTGCCGTGGGAAAGCCGTAGTAAGAAGGTGCCACACGTGTGGAATAGATTGTTGTTTTGTTGTCATACTACGATGTGTGTCTCTTGCATTAATAAAAAAAATTAACACCCCTATTCTGGTTGTCGTAAGTCGTTCGCATCGACAGTCGTTCGTTGAATTAAGTCGTAAATAAAAATGTTAACGGCAGATTTTGACACGTTTTCAATACTTCTTCATTTCGAAGGGATAATAGGAATACAAATTTGTAGTGGATTATGTCATTCGTTGCTTCATAACGCCAATGAAAGTTTCAAATTTCGACGAACGACTGTCGTTTCGCCAATCGGAATAGGGCCGTAAATCTACTACCAAAATTATATTTTTCCTAAAATTTTTCAAGTAATTTCCTACTGAATCGAATTTTAGTGGCCCGAAACCTGCGTACATATAATTTTTAGTCTCTTTAATGCCTTGCCAAACAAGAGCGTTACGCGAACGCGCGGTATAATCCTGTATAGCGTTTTCGCTCACAGCGCCCTGCCTGTTTCATACGCTTTAAATTCTTGGGCGGCAGTTACTTTAATTCAGAAATCCCTGTTTTGGAGTGCTCCTAAGCTCAGTATAGGTGCAAAGCAACGCATATACTATTTTGTACCGCACCGCGCCTGTTTGACCAGCGCAAGGCATGAGCAAGAGTCAACACCAGACTGGGAAAAAATGTATCGCTTACTAGAGCTTCGCGTCCGCTTATGGGAGATTTTTTTTCATAACTAGACATTTTTGAGTGTCTGCGTCCGTTTAACGGAAAGTGCGTGGAGGGGAGAGGATTTTGTATGAAAAAAAGCCAAATATTGTTCGTTGCCAAGAATGTGTCCGCTTATAGGAGGTGTTCGCTTATTAGAGCGTCCGTCTATGAGAGCTTTCACTGTACATACATATTACCAGTTATCGCTATAAAATCTAGCAGTTAATTGCTGTGCGTAGTAGTCATAATTTTCTAAATTCTAGGCTTACTTTTACCATATCGTAAAGTATGTATGTACTTATGTATGTGCGCTTACGCCGACTGAAAGTGGCTCAGAAAAAGTAACAGCATATTACTTATTGCGTTAATACTTTTTACGCTCGCTAAACTTGCGTATTTTTAAACGCATTAGTACATACATACATACATATGTATTAATGTATTCCTATAATCACACCTATTTAAGGAAGACGAGATCTTACTTAGCAGATGTAGAATAGTTGAACGCACTACAAGGTGTCAATGCTTAAAGGCGAGATCATGTAATAAGTGCAAACTATTGCAACAGCAGCAAATGAGACAGCAACAACAACAACGGTCACAATCATACCAATCATATAAACGACGTCATCGTTTACAACGTTACCACACTGCGATCGGTCATCATGGGCGAGTACTTTCTCGCTACCGTTATTGCCATTGCATTTGCCAGAACAGTTATAATCAGCGCAGGCGCTACCATAGTTTCAGTTGTAGTCTTTGCTACAACAACGAAGATGATATGCTGACTGACGACGATAATGATAGCACAATGGCGATGCTAATGCGAAATTATAGTTGCGATTGTCGCGATAGCAATAGCTCCTTGTCAGCGGTTAGTTTGTGTCTTTTTTTTGATTTTCTTAAAGTGCATTGCTTGCTGTGCGATGTGTAACGGTTAAAAGCTTGTGGCAATAAAAAATACATAGTACATATAGACATACAGTGGTCCACAAATAACAGGAGTGCGATATTTTGACCAGTTTTTGCCATTTGTCTTTTGTTTATTTAATGTATATTATTTTTTTTATAAAAGTCTAGCTGGTTATGCAACAAACAACATATTTATTTGATTTTTTTTTGCTGGCAGTGTCCTCCATATAAATGGAAATTGTAGAACATACTTTGTATGGAAAAAAACGTGAAACACCTTCAACCAAAATATTCTCAAAAATCAACGGAATTTTTTTGCAACTTGAAACTTGCGTTTTATTAGAATAAAATGGGTTACAAAACTACACATCGCAATTTTTGTTGAGATTCTGACTAAAAAATTTGGAAGTTTGGGTGAAAATTTGCGAAATTTTTATAATTTTTGTACAAAGTTTGAAATCTGAATTTATATGGGATTTGTGTAACAGCCAAAACTGGTCAAAATATCGCACTCCTATTATTTTGTGGACAACTGTATGTTCACTTTTTTCCTTGTGCAGTAAAAAGTTAAACTTTTCGATTTACTGTTTTTGCGAAATAAGTTTTCATTGATGATACGAATGCTGCTTGATTGTTTAGCGCGCCTTGCACATTTTCACTTGTTGATTCCTTCTACCACTCCTTTATCCAATCAAACTAATCTTGCTGTTGCCGTTGCTGTTGGCCTTGCAAAATATCTTACAAAAGCGCATTACAGAAATGCGAACTGCCGTGCATTTTTATGGCGCTTACATTCTCAAAAAAAAAAAGAGAAAAAAACTATGCTAACCGCATGTGCGTTTGTACTGCAAAATTGACTTACTTGAAGTTTTGAAGCAAATTTTTGTTGTGCTAATTGTTGACTTTATCAGTCTATGCCTCAACATCTATCACAAACTAATAATCTGATCATACAACTTTTTCACTTGCAGAATTCAGCTATAGATAACATTGAGAATGCTTCGATATGCTCATGGGAGGCTGTTGAAGATCGCAGCGCACCCTCATCTAGTGCTAGTTCCTCCATACAACAACCAAACACCGCAAGTGTCCTCTGGGTACCCGATCATGCAGTGAAACGCTGCACCAGCTGTCAAGTCGAATTCTGGATAGGCCGTCGAAGACATCATTGCCGGTGCGCAACTCAAAATGCTTGAAATTAAATATTATAAATTTGTAATTTGTTCATAATTGTTTTTTTTTTTTTTTAAATTTTAACTATTTTTTAAGGATTTTGGTTGGAATTTTATATGTTTTCTTGTTTGTCTCTTTATGCGTTATCGTTCATACATACATATCTACTTATACCAGTGTAGTAGTTTTAATCCTACCTCATTCGTTTTCGAATTTCTAAACTATTAGTTTCTACATTATGCATTTGTGAATAACAAACCTTTTTTATTGGATATTATAAATCATTGTTTACTTTTATTGCTGGCTCGTATTATATGAAATATGGATTCAAAAAATTATCATTAAAAACTGAAAGTGTTCCAAGTCANATATTATATGAAATATGGATTCAAAAAATTACCATTAAATCTGAAAATGTTCCGTCATACGTACAGGATGCGTCGGGTATTTGAGGGCACTCACATATACATATATATTTGTGCAACTCGATCCTGAAATAGATCAACGCCTTAAAGTGGCCCGATCCTTTGTTTACAAAACTCGCTGAGAACTGGAAGAATTTTGTTTCTTTCCCAAAGGATTTCGCGTAAATGCAGTTGTGAAACCATGGATAGATAGAGTACGCGATGAGAAGCATTTGGTATTCCAACAGAACTCTGTTCCTTCACACAAGGACATGAAGACGCAAGTTTAGAAATCTGAGAATTTTCATGACGCCACCCAACACATCAGATATTAATCGTTTGGATGACTTGAACGGGGGACCAATAAACATATTATGGTGATGTTTTGAGAGCAGAGACTATAAGATTAATGGCGCATATTGACGAGGAACTTTTGATCCAAACATGCAAACGATTCCGCCTGCGGATTGAAGATGTTATTGCTGTGATTTTATTTGTCCTCAAATACCTAACGCATTCTGAATAATAACTCTTGTGTATAAATGTCTTACTTTTGCTGATAAAGTTTAACGATTAACAAATGCCATTATACGAAGTTAACAGATCATTTAAGCACATTAGATATGAAATTACTTAGGTCGCCTTGAAATTTATAGGCACCAATATTGTTTTCAATATTACATAAGTGATATATATGCATATGTTGAATATGAAAACATTTAAGTAAAATTGCATTATTTTAATCTTAAAAGACGTAATACAATACATTTTTCAAATCCATATTCAAGCCGACTGTGGATATGCAATGCTGCTAATAACTTATTCGCACTATTTTAATTTTCCTAAATGTATTACTCTGTATTTCCTGTACTGAGTATTCTGTCCCATATTTAAATTATTCTGTTTTTATCTCTTCATTTAGTTCGTGTGGGCAAATATTTTGCGCCGACTGTTCAGAGTTTTGGGCCCCGCTACCTGATGCAAAGCTTTTTAATCCCGTGAGATTGTGCGGACCCTGTTATCATGCCGTAACAACAAGGATCCAGGTAAACGCTCTAAACTCTGACTAAAAGTAAACTATTTACAGCGCCCGTGAACGAATATACGTATAGAGGGCCGAAAAAGCTAATAGAGACGAAACAGTACTATCACTTGCACCTTCTAACTTTTTTCGATAGTGTTTCAAAGCGTAGTTGACTAACACTAATCCTCTAGAAACTATACTAGAATTTATAGTTTTATGAAACAAACAAGACAAACAAAACAAAAAAAAACTGGCGAAGATAAATTTATTTGCAAAAGTTTCGAGAAAAACTATTGTGGTTGAGTGTTGCCGGGGTAACAGGCGTGGGAACGCCCAGAAAAAGTATCGCAACTTCCAGTTAAAATAATAAAGCAAAAACGTTCTTTTGTCAAACAAAATTCTTACCATCCAAACCGGATAACCAACTAAAAAAAAAGCATTGTATCTGCATGGTGCTGCTTCTAAAGTTTTTCACTGGTCGAAGTTTCTTTTTAGAGGGAAAATTACTTTTTATATAACATTTTACAATGTGCAATACTTCATGCTTATCTTATTAGAGGAGAGTTTCTCGCCTGGATTATGGATTGGCCATACATATATAGGTGGTTCACAAGTTGTCGTAAGTGTCGTATGTCGTAAAATTTTTAACGGCCAAATAAATAGTTTCAGCCGTTTAAAGCTTACGACATACAACATTACCACAGTATACAACACCTTGTGAACTCCCTAATAGAAGGAGCCCAAACCGGTCATAAATACGGGGTTTCCAAATACATATCTCGACTCCTGTGCCATTTTTTGTGGAGTTATTCCTATTGATGTAAGTATATATTATAAATATAAACTAAATTAGACCATAGGTGCAGGTTTCACGAAATTCGCCACCTACAGGCAAACATTTTTGTGGTTATTTCCTAACATGTGAGTAATATACATTCCAAATATGAACCAAATGGCACATTAAAAACAGCGGTTTCCAAATGTCTCGATTGCTGGGCCACTTAGCGGATTAATTTATCTTTCATATTGTTTTGTCATCGGGTTCTGAACTAAGTTTCAAGTCTAGCTCATTGGAAAGTTGGTTAAAAATACTAGGCGGAGTCTTTCTATTATGCGCCTCAATATTTTTAGAGAGACCTACAGTTTTACACCACTTCTGAACGGATGATGGCTTTTTGTTAACAACTTTTTCATGCACTTCTATGACTTTTCGTTGGCAGCAAAAGGACAATTACTATTATGCCCCGTTTCAGCTAATGATGCCAAAATCATAAATGATGTGTCTAAATGGTAAATACAATTGGCCAAATAAGACATGGAATATATTACAGATCAATTTATATATATTAAAGTAATAGTTGGTTTAGGGTTGATAAAAATGCAAATAGTATTATCGTGGGTAGATCGTCTAGAGATGAAAGCCATTTACATAATGAAAAGTAACAATGACTATTAAAAAACAATATTTTTCACTCATTTGTACAATTATGTTATAAATAAGTGAAAGAAATATCATCTTTAAAACAATTTTCCTGCGTTTACCTTCAATGCATGACCATTGTACTTTTCATTTCACTGGCTTTTGAATAACTGAAATAATTAAGACAGTCGTCATCCCAGTCCAGCCGTGGCCTGGCTCACTTCACTTTAGCGACGGAGTAAAGTTCAGCTATAGCAGCCAACAAAGATAGCTATATGTATTGGTAACGCTATGTGAATTTTCATCAAATTTACCTCAAATTGGATTAATTGATCATCATTAACATTTAAGCATTGATCTAAAACTAAAAACTGACTTTTAAGCATACCTTTCGAAATATTAAAAAAAAGTAAATATTATATTTTATTATTTTCAGCTGCAGAGTCGCTCATCGGTCATAACCAATAATATGCCAAATTATACAACCATAACTACCAGCTCCTCTGCAAATAGCACGACAGCAAGCACTGTTTTAACGGCTAGCGGAGCTACAAAAAACTTGCCTAATACGGCGACGCCAGCAGTTTCAAACACATCGCATGCAAACGCCACCACAGTCACAACAACAAGTACATCCAGTACGATGCATATGACGGCTCCATTACCTTTAACAGCGGCTGCAGTGCAGCAACCAAAACAGCAGCAGCAGCAACAAAGACAAACGGCAGCAGTGGCTGCTAGTGCTAGCGTGGCTGCCGCAGCCGCAGCTACAAGCACACAAATTGAGAGTAGCAGTATGTCACACATGTTGATGGCGGCAAATAAAAACATTGCCGCTAGTGTTGCAAATTAATATTTATTTATGCAGTTGTCTTTGTTGGCGATGCAAGGAAATCATTTGATTTTATTTCATAGCTGAAATTTAAATTTTAATGAACATTCTTATCTGGGGCGCCTCTAACGTGCTGTTAATTAGAAGTGTAACAGTTTAAAAGTGGAGGTGAGCGAACGCGAGAGAGAGACTGTGCTGCCAGACTGTTGGCAACTTTGTTGCTGCCGTGCCTAGACAAGTACGGATTTTATTGCTAAACGCGTGCTTGCAATTTGAATATCTTGTAATTGTTTTTTTTTTTTTGTTCTATTTATTTAATTATTAGGTGTTTCGATTCGCCCACACTTAGACAGTGGCAAACCTAGAGAATAACTGGCATAAACCATTTATTATAGTAAAACTTGTCTAATATCTGCATAGAGATCAATACAGAGAATACCAAATTGACCATTTTAATGAGGTAAACCCAGTTAGTTTCTCTTGTGTTGAATTCAACTGGATGTTGTTGTTGTAACAGCATACAAAGTCCCCAAATAATTTTTGTGGAATGATGCTAAAGTGACAGTCCTTGGCCAGATATGAATCTGGGTCGTTCCGGTTCCGTAGAACCAACTGTCGTGGGAAGAAATTCAGCTGGATAACTTTGGTCAGTGTTATGCAGACAAATTTTTGTTTGGTGGATCCACTGAGTTTGGCACAGGGTTGCACGTTGATTGTGCTTTTATGCCTATGGGTAACACGAAATAAAAATTGCAGATGTCCTTTTGATGCAAAAATTAATAATGTGGTTGTTCACGCTTGCCTGGTTATTTGGATATCTGGATATGCGGTATATTGTTGTGTTAGTATGAGATTTTTCTATGTGTGTGTTTCGGACCGAAGTCATACCGCATTTTCCCGGTCTTAAATTGCTGAGGTAAAATACTACTCCCTTCCTCTCGCCTATGAAAAACCGGTTGAAGACGGTCTGAAAAGACCTAAAAGTGTCGAGCCTCATTAACTATGCCCTGGTATGTATAACTACAATTACCAACAATTTTTTTGTATGGTAACAATAATTTTACATCGAATTGGCCAGCCAAATTTAGTTTGTGCTGTGAGAGTCGCCAAAGCCTTTCTCCAAGTTTGCATACAGTTTGCTAAAAAAATATCTGCATAAAGCTGGGATCACATGATTTGTAACGGCAAAATGTACAAATATACAAATCGTGTGATCTATGCTTAACACCGACCTTTATTGTTGCATTCACACGCACATTTTTTGTCAAGAGAGCAGAGCTCAAATATAGTGATAATATAGTGGCGAATCGAAGACGGCTATTTTCTCTGCTGACTGTGAAGAATTATTGATGCGCTACAATTTTTTTTTTATCAGTTGTATATATATTCGTTTCTTCTGCATTCTGGTATTTTGAAGACAAAATTGAATTTAAAAACTATGCACGTAATTGTAAAGTTTTGAATATTTATTAAAAAAAAAATAGAAACTGTATACCTTTGCAATGATTTTCTTTGAAAAGTTTAGTTAGTAAAAAAATACTTGTGTGTATGTTTGTACTTGGCAGAATTCTTTACTAAAAATGCAAAATTAATAAAAATTCGACACTTTGCTTACTATATATTTATCTACATACATATCTGTGTACGTATGGAAAAGTAGCTTATGTCGAAAGGCTGGCTTTAGTTTAATGCGGCATTCCCTTTATTCTTTAAACGACAAGGTATTTTTTGATGAGTCGTAATAAGAATATTGACTTGCTAGTATCGGAACTATATCTTGGACGTTTATTTGCCAAAAGTTTTTCAACGGCTAAGCGCCAGTGAGTCATTTGCAATCGTATGCTGCGAATGCCGATTTATATTAAAGCCAGCCTTCCGACATAAGCTACTTTTCCATACGAACACAGATATGTATCTACATATAATCCTCAACACAAAATCAAATACACGTGAGAAAACATAACAAATAATGTTGCAAGAATCAAAAACTTTTATTTGGTTTTACTTATTTCGCGCGAACTAAAAAATCGTTGGAAAAACTTGAAGGAGTTCGATGTCCATTCGCAGAAGTTGTTGTTAGTTTTTCCTTTGGTACAACCAAACCTATCATTACAAAACCGTATACATAAATGCATACAAACATTACCTATGTATGTACATATATAAATATGTATAAGTACGTATGTAAGTAAGTTTGAGATGGTAATAATGAAAGCAAAAAAATGACTACAAAATAAAAAAAAAAAAAATCGTAAACCAAAAATGAAATACATCACCTTGTCGAATAAATTCGTCGTGTATTTAATAAATGAAAAAAAAAAATGCGACTAGAAGCTGCGCGTTTTTATTCACTAATAAATTTAATTATAAAGCATGTGTATGTAATTTACAATGTTTGATTATTTGTAAGTGCAGATTATAATCGTTATGTTTAAACCTTGATCCCTTGAACCACATATTGAAAACATTGAAACGTATGTAACTAAATATGTACGATTAGGAGTTTTAATTAAGAAATAAATTTATAATTATTGCTTATAACAAAATAAAACTGGATGCAAATGTAATAAAAATCGTATTTGATATTGCAGGTTACATAATTAAAATGGGTCCAAGGAGATGTGTCAAGCGTGCGAAGTGAAGCTTTTAAATTCGTTTTTTTTTTCTAAATGTTAGTGTTGAACCCAGGATGTATCTTAGCGCTAATTTTAACGTTAACCAAAAAATACACTAGTTTCAGAGCCTGGGATCAGCCCAGTTCCAGGCTAACATCAAAAACAAAAGAATGGCGGCAAAACCATGATAAAAACATAGTAAGGTAGAACCGCTGAGAGTCACTTTTAAAATTCTTGACGTTTCCAAACAATTTAATTTTTAAATTTACTCACAAACTCACACACACATTTTCATTTTCAATCTCAAGCAACAACAATTTCGAACAATTTCATTTTTTTATTTTCACATTTATATGATTTTAAAATGTTGGCAAACTTCAAAAAAAAATCATGGCCGACAAATTGAGAGAACGGTTATACCTTGCTATGTTTTTATCATGGGCAAAACCATATAAATGACAGTTTCAAACTTTATACAAAATTTAAGAAAATTCAAAAAAAAATTTTGTCAAAATTTCATCTTTTTAATCTGAATCTGAAAAACATTTTGGGGTATGCAGTTTAATAGCCCATACAATTTTAGTCCAATGAATTGCAAGTTTCAAACGGTTTGCAGTTTTTTCCATGATAAAAACATTACAAGGTAAAACCATTGGAAGGCAGTGTGACGTTTTCCAGCAATATATGTAATTTTAAAATTTCAAACTCACACACACATTCTCATTTTCAATCCCGAACAACAACAATTGTGAATAATTTAAATTTTTATTTTAAATTTTATATGGTTTTAAAAAGCTTGCGAACGTCAGTAAAAAAATCATGGCCGACGAATTGAGTGTATGATTTTACCCTGTAATGTTTTTATGACGCTTTTGTTCCATATATGTATGTATATGCGGGAGACCGTTAGCAACACTTGTTATTTAAAAAGTTTAAGTTTCAATGAAAATTTGTTAAATTTTTATAAATTTTGAATAAAGTCTGAAACTGTGGTCTATATGTTACTAGTCAAAGCTTGGACGGTGTTTTTATAGAAAAATAACACAAAAGTTTAGCTCGAAAAACGCTACGAATATTAAAAAAAAAATCAACAAGTTATCATTTGTTTGAGCCACTATGCGTTTATATATATATACATATATATAACCATCATTTATTTCCATGTGTGTTCAAATATTAGTTTAGTAATTCATTAATCAGCTTAACATTCAAGTACCCCTATAAGTTGTGTAACCAAACGGATTTAACAGTAACGGAATATGATAATGCTGATTCCGTTCACATTGTACGACAATCTCAATAAAAGGATAAAAACTTTTAACTCCACGTTCTGCGTTATATGATGCCACATCGAAATCCAACTTGTAGATGCCCGCTTTGTATTGCGAAGCACTCACTAATTGATTTACACGCCCATCTGGATTCGTTGTTTCAACATTTAGTTTCTGCCAATCATTGCCACCTTCTAGGCGATAAATTGTAATATTAACATTTGGTGCAGCCTGACCCACTGTGGTGTCCAGTATATGTGCAGATATGGTACGTACATCAGCACTCACATTAGTTTCGACAGCCGGTTCAAAACCCTAAATGAAAAGGGGAGTTGGTGGAAATTGAGCTTAAATTAAAATTAATCCGAAATAATCACCTCTTTTGTTTCGACACGTAGGCGAACACGATCCCAACTGGAGCTCATCATGCTATGAAATCTAACTGAAAAAACTGTGAGTAACAGTAATAACGCTGCACTTATCATCATTTGTTAGCCGATGTTCCTACTTGTTGTTTATCTTCTTTAAAAGATTAGAGAGATTATTTGGATAGCTTATCTTGAAATGCTGAAATATGATATCTTATAAATCTCGTATGTAAATTCAATTTATACATATGTATGTATATATGAGAGTGACGTTATATGACTAAAGTGGAACTTGATTTTTTCCTTTCTTACAAAATCGCAAAACTCTTTTCATGAAACATGTTTTGTTGTGATTTGGAGTGATTCTAGTTTTAGAGTTTGTTGAATTAATAAACTTGTTTCAATTTACTTTTACAACCCAAAGTGTGAAAGTTTACGTGACATGGCGTGATGTGAAAAAAATTTCCTATTAGATACATGTAAGCAACTATTTTAAAAATTTTATTTTTTCTTAATTTATCATGAATTTTATGTCGAATATACTTTATTATTTGACCTCAGAGTTAATTCAGCGTGAATTTATGACTAACTATGTTTCAAAAATACGTTTTTTTTTTCAAAATATCTCCACACCTAACGAGATAATTTTCCGAAAATATTTCTGCCTACATAAGCAGTATATATTGTGAAAAGCACGTAAAAAGCAGGACAAATAAAATGAAAATCGAAATTTTATATTATTTCGTTGTTTTTGAGGCTCCGTCCCGGGATTTGCTTGCATTAATCCCGGAATAAAAAAAAAAATTAAAACACTGATTTGATACCAAGAACTTGTTTTAAGGAAAAGTTAGATAATTTTTTAAATCAATCTTCTCAAACTTCCTCAATTCGAAAAACTTATAATTTATCCGACGTGCTGGTAAAAGAAGTTCAAATATTTCGTAATCGCGGAAATAGGGATCATTATCTTCAAATGGACGCAATAATAAAAACAGGCACAAAAAAAACATATGTGTGCTTTTAACCAGACCCACCTACCAACGTGTATGTATTGTAAAAATATGTAAATATATCCCGAAATCCCGGTATCACAATTTTCCGTATATTTTGGCATCCCTAATACTTATGCTAAATAATATTTTCTTAGAAATGTAAATTGGAATGTGTATGTATGCATACTATACTATATGTATATACATACATACATATGTATATATGATCCGGTTATTCTCACCCGCTCCAAAGACAACTACCATACATATGCCTACGTACCCTATAGGGAACTCAACCAACTAGTATGCACTATAAGTTCACTTTTTTTCAACTAGGGGTGACTACGCCTCCACTACATTACGGTTAACTATTACCTGCAAGATAACTATTTTTTTTAGCATGTATTAAGACCTCTAAAGATGTGCTATTAATATATATACATATGGGTAAGGCTTCCTCAAGTGGGCTCCGAATTTACCAAGATTAATATTTTTTAATGATATTCAGGCAGCGCCGAGTTTTGTAGTCGAAAAGTACACTGTAAATTGTGTTGCAAAATTCCAAATAGTTTTTTTAATCAACAATTGAACATTTTTGCAGTGATTTGGAAATTTTTTTTTTTCTTTCAAAGTGTCCGAATGAAAAATTTTTTTGGATGCAGATCTAAAAAAACTTTAAACTATACAATCAAATTGTTTGCGTTACAAAAAATTTTTTTTTTGCTTTTCAATCATTTTTATATGAAAAGAAAATTAAAAAA